CTGTCTCTATGACAACAGTTTGTTGACAACGGCCGCTGTATGACCGACTCTGCTCCGTTACTTTTTACTGCATGTTTTATATTTGAGATCGTTTATTTCCCGATCAGACAAGGAGCGAGGAGGATGCGAGTACAAGACGAGATCCATAGGCAGCAAACAGTGCCGGTGACATCAACAGCCGCTTTCTGAAAAGTTGTTTTTATTTTTTGTTATCAAGTCCGCCTGTCTTGTAAACTGAGCGTGCTTGATGATAACGTAAAGTCATACATGTGTTGTATTACGACATTAGAGGTAACCGTGCTCAGGCCTGGTTAGTCCTGGAGCAGTGTTAGTGCAGTCCAGCAGGGGAATGGGGAGGGGGGACAATCTGGCTTAAGCACGGTACAGGATAACGTTGCAAAGTGTAAGTGCGCCCTGAGTCTTCTAGTTTAAGTTGAAGTTGAGGAATAATGTTGAGCCAGTAATAAAAAATAACTTGTAAATTTGTGGCAGCTCTCACAGACCAGCCAGCTGCATTTATTTCTGTGTGCCAGAGTTAATAATCAAACTTCACTTTTATTCTGCTTACTTTGCACAACGCCTCAAAATTTAAACACATCAGCACATCATCTGAACCGACGCCGTATTGTGCAGCTGCAGGTTTGTGCAGGCTGGCAAAGTTCAAAGTTTCCAGAGAATAATGAAGGAAAGGTGGGGAAAGTTCCTCAGTAACTCCACAACTACCTGCAGTGTGGTGACCAGCAGACCGTGCAGGATGACTGACAAGCTTTGAAAACATATTTATCATTCAGAGCCTGACGCACACACACGTTCACACCGAGGGTAAAGGAAAACAAAAGCACACACTATGCATTAAAAAAAGACAAGAATCAGCCTTTTCATACTCCAGTAATCCCTCATGTAGCTTTTCTTAACTGAAACAAATAATAAAAATGGGTTTAATTCATTGAATTAGCATAACTAAACACTGTGCACGGCTCTAAAGGCTTCTTGATTAAGTCCAAAAACAAGAACGGGTCCCCAAACCTTTTCAAACACACAGTCCTCCTCTTCATCTATTAATAACATTTTCTGACGCAGGCTGAAGAGCTTTTCTTTTGTGCAATCAATCATTGGCATGCAGATAATTAAATGATCATTCTTTTTCTTTGTGTTGTAGAAATATGTTCTTTTAGAGGAATACATAATTTTTAAATTGAAATAAAAACACGACCGCTTGGCCTTGGAGGTCGAGTGAACAGATCAGTGAACGCATGTCCAGATTCCCTGACTGCACCGAAGAAAATAGGAAACAAAGACTGAAGAAGAAGAAGTGTGCACAGATTCATGAGCTAACAGCAAAGAGACCACAAAGACCAACAGTGAACGAGCGGGAGGGAACGCACACGATTGCATGCTCGCTGTTTACACTGCATCAATCATTAGGCCCTGTGTCCACCTAGCGTTTTATTCTGAGCGCCGGCGTCTTTTTTTTTTTTTTTGATACTTTCTTTTTATTGATATTTTCAGAGTAAAACAAGACAAAAGAAAAGAGGGGAATCAAAAAAAAAAGAAAGAAAAGAAAAAAAGGTAACACAGGCCATACATTAGTCAAAATACACAAATCAGGGTTTTTCAATTAAGAGTTACATTCCGTACAGTACATATTCCATTTCTTCCAGACTTTTATATATTGGTCAAACTTTAGCCTTAATGAGAAGGTCAGTCTCTCCATGCAGTGTATTTCGTTGATTATTGCTAACCAATCATCCTTTGATGGGGGGTTTGCCTGTAGCCATCTCCGTGTGATTGCTTTCTTAGCTGCAACCAGAAGGACTTTATAGAGATATTTATCGTCTGACATGAGATTGTCCGGGATTTTTCCCAGGTATAGTATGATAAAAGAGCAGTCCACGTTTATTCTAAACATAACACTCATTACTTCTGTAACCTCCTTCCAAAAATGGCTGGACCTGTGAGCAATCCCAAAATATGTGAAAGTGATCTGCCATTGATTTATCACATTGCCTCCAACATTTGTTCTGACCCTGAGAACCCTGCTGCAAAAACTTCAACTTTGGGGTTATAAAGAAACGAATTAAGTTGTTCCAGCAGAATTCCCGCCAGGCCCTTGAACAGGTTGTTGTGACCTGATTGTTCAAAATGTCATTCCAGTCATCCTCAGATATCTCCTGGGCGGATTCCTTCTCCCACTTCTGTCTGACCTGAATAGTAGAGTGTTTTTAGGAATTCTGTAATCCTTATATATCAGTGATATTAGATGTTTGACACCTCTAGCCTTATATGCCTCAATGAATATGTTAACCAAGTCAGATTCGCTTTCCTCTGTCTGTTTAATAACTTGACCTGACCTGGAGATATCTGAAGAAGTCACATCTTCCAAGGTTATATACATTTGAAAGGTGGTTAAAAGATTTCAAGTCATAAATACTGGCTATAGTGCAGTAAGCAGTTATACCCTTGCGCGCCCAGAGTCTAAATTGCATGTCTAAACCAGATGGTAAAAAAAATCAGAATCGTGGGCCACCCATTTAAGTATTTTTATTTGGTTCTCAAGGTGAAACCTTTTGCAGGTCTTGAACCACACACTAAGGGTCAGCTTAGTCCATTGGTTTAGTTCACGCAGGTAGGATTCCCGGTTTTGATAATCTCCCAATACAGACTGTACTGGTAATGCAGAATGTACCAGTTCTAAATCTTTCCATTTTGCTGAGTACTCTGGGTTGCACCAGCAGACAAGTGGTCTTAACTGGGCAGCAGTGTAATAGTCCTCAATGCATGGGAGTGCAAGGCCCCTCTTATCTTTGGGCAATTGTAGGGTAATATATTTAATCCGGGGTCTCTTGCTATTCCACAGAAATCTTGAAATCATCCGATTCCACTCACTGAAGCCCTTGGCGGGAATTGCAACAGGAAGTGACTGAAATAAGTACAAAAACCTAGGAAGCACTGTAATTTTTACTATTTCAATTCTATTTGACAGGTCTAGTGGTAATATAGTCCATCTATTGAGGTCTGCTTTAATTGACTTAGTAACAGGGCCATAGTTACTTTCATATATTTTAGACAAGTCCCTAGGTATCCACACAGCCAAGTATTTAATAGACGTGGCGTTCCATTTAAAGTCAAATCTACTTTGCAACCCAGCATTTGGTGTACCGGCGTCTTTTTTCAATTCTTTCAACGAGGAGACTGCTCGGAGAAAAAAAGTGCATGTTTGTCATACAGCAGCCGTCATAGAGACAGGAGAGACGTGCAGAGATTTACTTCTCAGCGCACAAATTCTTTATGCAAGTGCTTCCAAATGCACAGCTGGCGTTTTTCTGCCCGGAAAAAACTCTAGGTGGACACAGGCGCTTAGTTCTCTGTGGTGCTTTTATTTTGAAGGTGGACAAACTGAAGTGTGGTGCTTTTATTTTGAAGGTGGACAAACTGAGGACTGGTGCTTTTATTTTGGAAGTGGACAAACAGCAGTGTGTTGCCTTTATTTTGAAGGTGGACAAACTGAAGTGTTGTGCTTTTATTTTGAAGGTGGACAAACTGAGGACTGGTGCTTTTATTTTTAAGGTGGACAAACTGAAGTGTGGTGCTTTGTATTGACGATTGTCGAATCTCAACACTCAGAGGCTCACCAATAAACGCATCGCGGTGAGCTGAATAAAGTTTTTCTCTGGTAAAAGGTAGAGTCAGTCAGCAGCCTTTTCCTTCAAAATAAATTATTATCCTAAAGTAAAGCTGCTCAATCGTCCCTTCTGGGCCTCCACACCTGTGTGGTGGTGAACCTTGTGTTGGCTTTTCACATTTGAGTGACCACTTTTTACATACCTAGGTCCTGCAGCAGTCTCGGGCGGGGTCTTTCTGGTCTGGTGGTGGGACGTTCAAAGTCCGTGTAACCCTGTAGAACTGAAGATGCAGACATGATTAACTCCATCATGGCTTCTCCTTACACAAGTATTACTTCACTGAATTTAGTTTGTGATAAATCTCCCTCACTCAGTAAACACTTGCACATCTGTTTACTCTGCAGGCGACCAGAGAGAGGGAGGGGGGGGGGAGAGAAGAGAGCCTAATCATTTGAAACCACAATCCATTAGAAAACAAATTCTCTCTCAACAGCCATTGCTCATTTGAGGACTACTACACAGCTTTTTCCAACAAATAATGTGTACTTACTTCTAATATTGAACAGTAAAACAAGATACCCTAGAAGTAAAATCGTAAAATCCGGTGTATAAGACGCAGCCAACTTTAAAAATTAAAAGTGCGTCTTATACACCGGTACGACCAGTTATAAAATACTGAAACACGCGTCGTCATTACAGCAGGTGCAGTAGCCCCTATCACTGCAACCTGACGTGATTAAAAACACATCCCCAACTGTGTATTGAAAGCTGAGTGCACGCTGTGCTGGGAAAGACAGTGACACAGACCAGGCTGGCTGCGCGACTTCTTTCACATCTTTTCTCCCTAATGAGGTCATAATCAGAGGTGTAAAGTAACGAATTACATTTACTCGCGTTACTGTAATTGAGTATTTTTTTGGTGTACTTACTACTTTTTAAGTCGTTTATAAAATTTGTACTTTTACCTTAGTAGGTTTTCTGTTAAGTTTTGTTATTCACTACATTTCAAATCACATCCGTTACTAAGTTAAAAAAATAGGCCTGCTATGAATGATTTTCCCTCATCACACCGGAGCGACGACAGAGAGAGAGAGAGAGAGAGAGAGAGAGAGAGAGAGAGAGAGAGAGAGAGAGCAAAATCCGCTGTTAACCCTCTGTAAATGCAAATGTTGTGGTACAATGTCTGCATTAACAGCTGCACAAAGCGTGATTTTGCTCTCTTGGTTTTGCTGCTTCTTGATAACAATCCTTCCCACACGAGACTCACAAGTTCTGTTGTTAAGCACGGAGCATGTGCGGTTTCATAAACCAGGGCGTGGATTTTCATTAAAAGGTTTCTCTGAGGTCCAGCATTTACAATAATTTCTATGCAGCATATCAGCTCGCTTTCTCTCGCTCAGGCGCGTTGTCTTTGCGTGCAGGCAGGTGAGCGTGTGTCCGTCCAAAACATGTCTTCGCTGCATGACCATGTATCACAGAAAGTGTTGTGGTGGTGCAACATGTGAGCAAAGAAGTTAAGTCCAGAAAATATGAGTGGAAGTATTTTCTTCCTTGTGGTCTCATCATTATAATTCAGTGTTTCCCACACAAAGACGATACACAGGCAGAGCCACAGGTTGCGCTAGCTGTGCGCTCTGGAGCTAGTGCATTGAGCGTTTGTGCGCTGAGAAGAAAAGCGCTGCACGTCCATCCTGTCTCTATGATAAACACTCTGTTGATAACGGCAGCTGTATGACCGACACTGCTCCGCTATTTTTTACATTTTAGATCGTTTATTTACCCGATCCGACACGGAGCGAGGAGGATGTTGGTAAAAGACACAATCCGTAGGCGGCAAAGCAAAGTGGATAAAGCCCGTTCTGGAATGAGGGTGAACTTTGTGTTGGCTTTTACCCATGGACTAGAGTTGGTCTGCTTAGTGTGTGCTAGCGTGCGTTAGCTTGCAGTGTAGGTACAAGCAGTAAATGTACACACCAAGTCCTGCAAGGAATGTGAGCTTCTGGGGGGCGATGAGCCCAGGAGGAGGGGCCATGTTCATCTACACATCAAGTCTTTAAATCACATCCTCATTATCTGTATTCATGTATTAAAAAAACACACCCAACACAGGCTGTAAGACCAACGAGACATTAGAGCCGGTTTGTTACCTGTGAGTTTGCGTGAGTTTTGCTGTGGCAGCTCGGGTCTGTCTGACCAGAAGGTACCGTATTTTCCGCACTATAAGGCGCACCGGATTATAAGGCGCACCTTCAATGAATGGCCTATTTTAGAACTGTTTTCATATATAGGGCGCACCGGATTATAAGGCGCATAGAATAGAACGTGTTTACAACTGAACAAGGCTGGGAGATATTGTGAATATATAAATATAAATACGTATAAAACGTAACGTATAAAACTACAAAAACAAAAGTACATAAGACGATTTCCCCAAATAATAAATTATTTCTTTGCCGTTTCTCTTAACTCTCAAAACGTAGTTTTATACGGAGTGCATTCACAATAACTCAACGTTGTTCAAACGTTAATGTGCATATTCACAATATCTCCCAGCCTTGTTCAGTTGTAAACACGTAAAAGAAACACAGTCTGATACCGCTAATTCAAACGTTAGTGCAGGGGTGCCCAAACAGTCGATCGCGATCGACAGGTAGATCGCTGACTGATTCTCAGTCGATCGCGAGATGTTTTGTCAATATAAAATACAATTGTAAAATAGAAAAGTGATTTCAATTTCATCTCATTGCACTGTTTCCCACACACGATACCTGTGTTGGGAGCCCAAGTATACTTCCGACCTGTGTGTATTTAATTTTTCATTTATTCATGAAATTGCTGCGTGCATGAGAGAGCGAGCGAAAGAGAGAATGCAGGCATGCGCAAGGACGTGCAGGTAAAACCGGGGGGCTAAATGTTTTACCAAAAAGTCATATATAGAAACTATGCAACGAGTATTAAGCGCATTTGATGTAGCTGCAGCTACTTTTCTCTGCTCCTCTCTGCTGTCATGACTGTGAGCATCGCGGGGCACGAGACACACCAACATACAGCGCAAACGCACACACCTCTGGACTCAGGCTGTTACCGCCGTGAGCATGTTTTTCCTCCTCGGATAACAGATGTTAAATCGCTGACTCACACGCAGACACAGCTAATGTTGATCTCAGCCTCCCTGTTTCTCTGCTGCAGACATGATGATCAAAGTACACACACACACACACACACACACACACACACACACCCCACACACACACACACACACACACACACACACACACCCACACACACACACACACACACACACACACACACACACACACACACACACACTTGCACTGGAGTACCAGCCACCACGCGAACCTTTTTACTTTTTACTTTTAGTGCTACAGCACACAGTTGATCCGTACGGACCGAGGTGGGAACACACGTGACCCGGTCAAACAGTCGGTTGGACTTTACTCCGTTCACTCTCACCGTGTCTGCAGCTAATTTAACAAAAGCAAAATCATCTCACAGCAGCCTGCTGTAGTCTGTAGTCTGCATTATTTTTTACAGAACTCTCATTTATTATTTTCTGTTTGTTGTGTGAGTATTAAATGCGTTTGTAGGCTGTTGGTAAAGGCTATGGCTCACTATGTGGACTGGTAGATCTCTGCAGACTGGTAACTTTAAAAGTAGATCTTGGTTCAAAAAAGGTTGGGCACCCCTGCGTTAGTGCATAACTCAACATTGTTCAGTTACGTATAACACGTAAAGCTCCCTTTTTCAGTTCATTCCCCGTCCACGAATCCCTCGAATTCTTCTTCTTCAGTGTCCGAATTGAACAGTTGGGCGAGTACGGCATCCAACATGCCCGGCTCCCTCTCGTCATTATCCGAGTCAGTGTCGCTGAGCGCCGTGTACAACCAGTATGGATCAACCAATTAACCAATTGATCCATATATAAGGTGCTCCGGATTATAAGGCGCACTGTCGTTTTTTGAGAAAATTAAAGGCTTTTAAGTGAGCCTTATAGTGCGGAAAATACGGTACTCTGCTCGAAATGCGGCGGGACCGATCTCTTAGGGGTTACTGTGATGAAGACAGCATCACACAAAGATTACAATAAGAATATCTATAAATGAACACAGGCCTCAACTTGTTTAAACTGTATTTTAATTACTTAAACTAGCAACAGAAACATTTGAGCGACCACTTTCATGTACCTGGGAGCTGCAGCGGTCTCGGACTGGGTCTCTCCGGTCTGTTTCTGTGAGGTTCAAAGTCTGTGTAACCCTGCAGAACTGAACATGCAGACATGATTAACTCCTCCACACAGTTTAAGTTTTACTTCACCCTGATGTTCTGTAAATATGAGGAGCTGCTTCGCCGTTTTCTGTACAACCTTCAGGAACGAGAATGTGAAGGGTAACCGATACTGAAAAAAAAAGCTGACTCAGGACTTTTATCTGAACACAAGGGGAAATTTAAACGTTTGTCTTCTTTGACGACTTTCACCGTGTGCATCTAATATTCTTTTGCAGTACCTGACAGATTTTATTTTGCATGTTTGAGTCGTCTTTTCAGAAGTAGAGGGCGTCCTGACCCATTTTGTCACATGAAAGGAAGTGGCTGCGTGTTTGAAGAATGAAAACAAATAAGCACAGCAGTTTTCAGAATCAAAGTGGTGAGTTTTCCTCCACAGCTTTAAGCTCCTCAAACCGTGTTTACCTGTTGAGAAAATATCCTGAAAGATTTTCACTGAAAAGAAGTATATGAGGCTTATCACTGCAGCTGTAATCCTGGACAGTATTTGTATATATTTGGGGGTCTAAATAACTAACAGCAGGGCTTCCTGCAGCGCTTTATAGTTAAGGTGACCGCCTAAACAACCTGCACCCTACGCCTTCACTGTCGTTGCAGGAAAAGCAACAAAAGATTGCTTTGGTCCCGAATGTGAAACCAACCTTAAGTCTCATACACAGAGGCCACACGGCTGGAATTTGGAGTTTGACTTTCACCCTCAGACATTTATAGTAAGTCCTTTACCACTCTCTCCTCCTGCCTGTTCCTGACTTGATCCACTGTCCTGTCCTCTTAGAAAAGGCATGATAACCTCTAAAAATAATAATAATTACCTTTTAATCTACGGTAGATATGCGTCATGTAGGCTTGTGTAAGCAGAACTAATCATTCCTGAGAAGGTATTTGTTGTTCATCACAGTAAATTTGGAGTAACTATAATTCAGAAGCTCTCAGTGGACTGAATCGTGCATAATCTGACATAAGGACCACAAATACGTCCGCTCCTGAACAGTCAAACAGATGTTTGTGTGCACTCACCTTGTCCTTGAGAGGCGGCGGGCTCATACAGGTCGAATCCCCAGGCGTCAGCGATGTGATGCAGCAGCAGGCTGCTGATGTGTCGATGGGCCAGCGCGTCCCAGTGGACGCCGTCCGGCATGCGGTGCTGCAGGCTGTGGCGGAAGTGGAAGTGCAGGTCGAGGACGTCCAGGTCGTATTCTTTCGCGGCCATGCAGCTGAAGAAGTTTGCTTCAGTGACATTGTGACGCAGAAAGGGGCCAAGGCGGCTCACCTGTATGATACAGTGATGGTAATAAATAATCCAACCGTCACCTGCTTCAGGAAGGATTTTATATCAACTGTTCCAAACACAGTTGTCTTATATTCAGTTAAAATGTTGGTGATATTCACTTACTGTAACAATGCAAAAACTTAAAGGTCCAATCAGTGAGATGTGTAGTGAGTGAAATGATAAAGTAAGCTTAATATATGATCAGACATTAAAGAAACATGCTATGATGAAGTGCTGGTTTCTCTGACAACAATGCAGCAGTCAGTATGTCCTCCTTCTAACTTTAGATTCTGGTCCTGAATGCTCTGGTCCTCTCTGCATGTTTCTAATAAGCTCTATGAGCAGAAACGTGCTCAAACTAGGATCAATATTAGAGATGTTTTTGAAAAATGGAGAGAGGTTAGAACACAGAAAGGTTTACACACCAATGCAGAGCTGGATAAACACTGAAGCTTCAGTGTCCACCACATGGCAACCTGTGAGAGCATCGACTCTAGAGAGGATGGAGTGGGGGGAGACAGCTCTCTGTAATTTTTTTAATTTGGACTGCAGTACCCATTTTAAAGACTAGGTGTCAGAGTAACATATTGCTCCTTAAAGAATTACTTCAATTTTATATTAAAACAATTTTGAAATGAGAACATCCTGCACACTGCTGTTTCTCAGCATCCCCATTTATAAGAAAACAAGTTGGGAAGTTTCTCATAAATGGTGATGCAAAGAGAGAAGTGTGCAGGATGTTTTCATTTCAAAGCTTTAGTTCTAACCGCGACCCTTCATAGCACAAGGGAAAGATGCCATTAGTTGATGTACCGTATTTTCCGCACTATAAGGCGCACTTAAAAGCCTTTAATTTTCTCAAAAAACGACAGTGCGCCTTATAATCTGGAGCGCCTTATATATGGATCAGTTGGTTAATTGGTTGATCCATACTGGTTGTACACGGCGCTCAGCGACACTGACTCGGATAATGAGAGAGGGAGCCGGGCATGTTGGATGCCGTACTCGCCCAACTGTTCAATTCGGACACTGAAGAAGAAGAATTCGAGGGATTCGTGGACGGGGAATGAACTGAAAAAGTGAGCTTTACGTGTTATACGTAACTGAACAATGTTGAGTTATGCACTAACGTTTGAATTAGCGGTATCAGACTGTGTTTCTTTTACGTGTTTACAACTGAACAAGGCTGGGAGATATTGTGAATATGCACATTAACGTTTGAACAACGTTGAGTTATTGTGAATGCACTACGTATAAAACATAGTTTTATACGTATTTATATTTATATATTCACAATATCTCCCAGCCTTCTTCAGTTGTAAACACGTTCTATTCTATGCGCCTTATAATCCGGTGCGCCCTATATATGAAAACAGTTCTAAAATAGGCCATTCATTGAAGGTGCGCTTTATAATCCGGTGCGCCTTATAGTGCGGAAAATACGGTACTGTTAGATCAACTTTAAAACTAATATATTAAAAGGTGTAAAAAGTTACATATTGTTACTTTTAAACCCCAAATTATCTAACAGAAAAGGCTTGAAGGTCCAATCCATTTTTAGAAAGAGGGAAGTAACTTTAAGGAGCCAATCATTTTTAAGCATCATCTCTGCAGCTCTTCTATTTTTAATCTGATTTCCCTGATCTCTGGATGAAGCTGCCTTCAGTAGGAGTGAAACCAGGTGGTGGTGTAGAGTTTGGTTGGGCGCTGAGAAATACTCACTCCAGGCACCAGGAATCCTCCCTTGATTTTCTCGCCAAGTGGCATGGCCGTGTTCCACAGGATGAGACAGTCGAGAGGAACGATGCTTGTAATCTGACTGAAGAACTGGTGGAGCTTCCTTTTGTAGTATCCGAGACTCATAGGGCCGTACCTGACAAAACATTTAGAAAAACAGATCCGTTAAAACGAGCTGTTTATAACGACTTTCTGGAAAGAATGAAAAACTCTCTACGATATGACTACCTGCAAATGCTTCAAAACGTATGCCCCGTTTACTTAGCGTTCTTTTCTGAGCACCAGCTTCTTTTTTGCAGGTTTTGCAGCAGCAGACGGGCGCCCGGAGAAATAGTGCAGCGCCCAGTATCTTTTATTCCCTGAGCGCTCCAGCTTTTCTGTGCTGCCGCTCTGAGTGCTTCATATTGATAGTCTTTCAACTTTCCAGAAGACCACTGTTTACGTCACGGTGCTCTTTTTTAAAATATTTTGATGATCCCCGTGTTTCTGTCTCTAACCGATCGTGTCATGTAGCCACATCCTCTTTGCGCTGTATCTGATCGGAGCCGTGATGGCTGTCATTATCATTAAGCTATGTAGGAGGGCGAGCGTGCTCCGTTTAATGCTCATAGCCAAGGAAAAAAAAAATCTCAAATACAAAACATGCAGTAAAAAGCAACGTGGCAATGACGGACATATCGAGGCCGTTGTCAAGAGACTGTTCTCATATTGGCCTTTCACTCCTGGTATTTCCAGGAGGAGCTGCATGTGTGAACGCCAAGAGCCACGGACTTCACCCGGAGTTTCTCCTGCCAGCCTCCTAGTATTTTTTTCCGCAGCAAGTCCGAGTGAGCTGATGTGACACCCGGTGCATAGAATGAGAGATCCCCCCCCCCCCGTCTGACAGGGATAGTCTCCCGCTGTGAGGTGCACATGTGAACAACCAGCTCAGGCTAATCTCCGGGGCAGTCCTCCTGAAATGATCTCAATATTTTCAGGCTGTGAAAACAGCTTTAGAGACCCTGTGCATTATTGTGTTAGCATGCTAATGCTAGCGATCTTTATTAGCTCGTATCTTCACACTGCATGTAAATTTACCTGAAATGAGCGTGATCTAGAAACACAGTTAAGCAGTGAGTACAGTATGTTATTCTTCTTTTCTCTAGTCCCTCAGTTAAACAACTTTTATACGTGAGGGGAGGAGTCAGCCGGCCGTCCTGGTGATGTAAACAAAGTGAAGATAGGACTCTGAAAACTCTGAAAACATCACAGACAGTGGGACTCGGGTGTTACACCCATTGTAGACAGTCATAACTCACAGAGTTATTTTCAGAGGATATACTGGATTTCTATTACATTTAAGTGTGAAATATAAAGCCTTGAAGCGTTTTCAAAAAAAGGGAAGTGTTAAAAGAAAACTCTGATCTGCAGCAGTCGAAATGTTTCTCCTGCCATCTGTGTCTCAAACAAAACGACACTGTTCATAAGCTGCAGGTGGAAACACTTCAGGTAAACACTGGCGGGCTTTCTATTTCTTTACAGATCTATAAAAGCTTTAAGAAAAATCAGACTTGAACTTTGACATTTATGGAAACACCAACTCCCACATGGAATCAGTGAGTGATTAAGAACACCTGGTCTGCACTGTTTGAAATAAACATTTTAAATTCATCCAGCTTTAGTTTATGACAACAAATCTGCTCTAATTCTTGATTTTAAGTCAAATATTTCCTCCTGATGCGGAAGAGGAAATGTTCTGGAGCGATCCGAAAACAAGAACAGGACAAAGACGATCCGCTGACGGCTGCTTCTTGTTCTCTATGCATAATTTATCACACCGTCATGTCCCGCTCACTCCGACTGAGCCCCAACAAGACTCAACTTTAATGAAATTTAAACCAAACAAACGAGTGGAGGACGGGGATGCGATGTGACAGATAGGCGAGAGAAAGAAGAATCAAGTTTCCCTCTAAAGAACTTCAGGAACCTTCATCTCAAGACATCACTGTCATTTCAATGCAGACGCTGTGCAGGTGATGATTCTTATTCTGCAGAGTGCAGTGTGTGTGGAGGCTGCAGCAGGCAGACTGTGACGGCTCGTGGTGTTTTTAAAGAGCTCGTCAGGAGACACAGAAGACAGATAATGAATAATCTATTGAGACGTCTCTGAAGAGACTTTAACCGCAAATGGAGCGACACAAACTCCATTATATCATTTGGAATTTCACACGACTTTGTGTTGTGGCGATGCAAACATGTGAGCACATACGTTAAGTCCAGAAAGTATGAGTGGAATTATTTTACCTTTGGTCTTAAATCCTTTACAATGTTTGGCACACATAGACGATATGACCACCAAGGTATATTAACAGCAGTGACAGCTCAGGTATATTAACGGCAGCTCAGGTATATTAACGGCAGCTCAGGTATATTAACAGCAGTGACAGCTCAGGTATATTAAAGGCAGCTCAGGTATATTAACGGCAGCTCAGGTATATTAACAGCAGCTCAGGTATATTAACGGCAGCTCAGGTATATTAACGGCAGCTCAGGTATATTAACAGCAGTCACAGCTCAGGTATATTAAAGGCAGCTCAGGTATATTAACGGCAGCTCAGGTATATTAACAGCAGCTCAGGTATATTAACAGCAGCTCAGGTATATTAACAGCAGCTCAGGTATATTAACAGCAGCTCAGGTATATTAACGGCAGCTCAGGTATATTAACAGCAGCTCAGGTATATTAACAGCAGCTCAGGTATATTAACAGCAGCTCAGGTATATTAACGGCCGCCTAGGTGACTCCTCCCCCATCCCGAGCCACATTCCTCACTTTCTGACGGACGTGTTGAGCGCTAGAAAGCAGACGGTAAGACGTCACGTTACCTGGAGATGTCCCAGATACATGAGCTGACGATGATGACGTCAGGTTTCATTCCTCGTCTGAAGTCCTCCAGGATGCTCTTCACGTACGAGGAGAAGACTCGCGTCAGGAAGTAGAACCGCAGCAGGTGGTGGCCTGAGCGGTACTGTCGCACCTCTTTGTAGTTGGTGCCATTGTTCATGAAACCCAGTCGACCCCCCTCGATCAGGAAGTCCTGCTCGAAGGAGATCTCCCCCTAGAGGACAAACAGAGAGGCGTTCAATGACAGAGTCACAGTGTAGGAAAACATTGTTTCCTAATGTTTAGATTACCGCATCTAAATCGATTTAGAACTAGGAGGATTTAAAAATATTTAATTCTAGATTTTCTCTAACTTATTCCACCACTCCTAATGGGCTCCCATAGTTCATTTCCTACAGAGAGGCTGGTTGACCTCGGGTACGAGCCACCCAGCCTCTCTTCCTCATCTGTACTTTTGCTGTACCCTGAAACTGCACAGAGCACTTTTAAAGTTTACAACTCGCACTTTCTACAGAGAAACTCATGGTACTTTATTAACCCTTAAAAAGGTCAAATTGAATCTAAAATTAAAAAGCAAAACCAGTTCTTTGTCATTTGTAGTTCCTTGTTCAATAAGAATGTGCCCTGATAAAAAAAAGATTATTTAAGTTCAACGACAGGTATGGCTCTGCTGTTTCATGTGAATAAAGACATGGTTCAAACGTTTACCTTGGTTTTCAGCTGAGACAGAGTCAAGTACTGATCCCTCTGAAGCAGCAGCACCAGGTCTTTGTATATGGTGCGCTGCACTGAAAGCAAAGAACAAAAGGCAGCAGGATCAAACCACAGAAGGAGAAGTAGTCAATCAATTACAGTGAAATAAAAGAGGCTGCAAAATAAAGAGGAAATGTCAAGTGTGTAAAAAGCTGCTGAGAATGACATCCAATAATCTATAGAAAGATTTCAGAGCACATTTTAGGAAACAGAGATTTAAAGGAGCAATATGTAAGACTTTAAATAAAATGTGTACTGCAGTCCAAATGTAAAACACTAGAAAGCTGTCTCCCCCCGCCTCCTCCTCTCTAGAGTCGATGCTCTCACAGGTCACCATGTGGTGGACTCTGAAGCTTCAGTGTTTATCCAGCTCTGCATCAGTCTGTAAACCTTTCTGTGTTCTAACCTCTCTCCATTTTTCAAAAGCATCTCCAATATTGATCCTAGTTTGAGCACGTTTCTGCTCGTGGAGCTTATTAGAAACATGCAGAGGCTTTTTAGGTCGGGTACAATCACTTCTATCTGAACCACTTCTCTTGACCTCTTCCATCACTGCAACACCTGTTGACCTGATAACTGCTCTCATAACCGAGGGTGTCCAAAACGGCCGTGTGGGGGGCCTTAAAACTGCCTACCTTCTCTGGTCCAAACAAATCCAGATCATTCAGGAGCAGAATCTAAAGTTAGAAGGAGGACATACTGACTGCTGCATTGTTGTCAGAGAAGCCAGCACTTCAACATGTTTCCTTAATGTCTGATCATATAGTAAGATACCTTTATCATTTCACTCACTTTATATTTTACATTGTACTCCTTAATGTCAGCACCAAAAACAGAAGTTTTACTTTTAAAAGGTTAACAATTAATCTAATTTAAGGCTGACAGAGTATAGAACTCATAAGTTTATCTTAAATACAATTACAGGTCAGATTTTGTTCATGGCTCTCACCTGAGTCACCGAGAATCACCACAAACTTGTTGTGCAGGAGCTTGCTGGCTTGACTCTGCGTGATGGACGTCATCATGGCTGCACAGGTGACAGTTTATAGGACTAATGTTTGGAGAAAGGAGTAATTAAACATTTAATATACATATATTATTTTAATTTAAGAGAATAGCACTTACCTCTAAAGATTGACAACGCTTACAGCTCACGGCCAATCATTTTTTAATCCTTATCAATATTTACCATTAAGTGGCACCAAACTCGGCTTACATTTGAAAATTTATTTTTTTTATTTTGTTCTTTAATAAGCAAACAAACTTTTAAACTATGAAACATTTCATAGTTTAAAAACTGACCCGAAAACAACAAAACAAACATAAACAATAATGAAAATTTTAGTTAATTTAATTTAGCAATTTCAATTTCCAAAATAACCATCATGACATCTGACGGAGCTAGCTAGTTATAGCTAGGATTTGTAGCCACAACAATAGTTATGAAATCACTTAAGAATCACCAAAGTAGCTAAACTATTTTACAAATATTAACATTTCGATTACTTTACAATTCACTGAAACTAATTTTCAACTTTAAAACCCGGTTTTATTTCAGGCTTCAGTAACGGCGATGCAGGCCAGACTCCATTGAAAGATAGTTTAAATTAAGGGACACCACAAACGGAAAGTTTGTGTCTCTAACTTTAAAAATAATAATTGGATATTGGATAAATGTGAGCAGAATTAAAGAAATACGTAACTTTTATACATGTACAATTATTTTTGGTAAGTTACATGTTTAAACACGGATAAAAAGACATATATCTCACCTTACTGACAGTGATTAGTTAACCTTCCCTTCGATTGAGTGTTACTAAATCCTCGGACTTTCCACAGAAAAAGTAAAATTTCACAAAATCTTCTACAATGACGTTGAAGCGTCTTTTTCCCGCGGTCGTTAAGATTATCTGTGGTAATGCCTCACACGGCCGCTAGGGGAGCTGCCGCTTTTGAGATGAGATGAGATTCAACTTTATTGTCATTACACATATACAAGTATAGAGTAACGAAATGAGGTTTGGCATTTCACCAGAAGTGCAATAAGAAGAAAGTGCAAGAGTCTGTGCTATGTACAGTAATTACAAAATTTACAGATGTAGACTAAAAAAAGTGAATTATTAGGTATATATGGCTGGATTAATGGATGCTATAAATATAAATAAATGCTATAAATATAAGTATATTCTTCAGATTATAATATACAGATTAAGGTGCAATGAGCATGCTATACTAGATTACAGATAATATACAGAATATGGACATATTGTACAGGTCGATAACTTATTGAGGTGATATGAAATACTATAATACAATAATACAGGTGGATGAGAGATGTGTGTGTATGACAGGAGGAGTGGTGGGGGGATGATGGGTGTGAGGTGATGTGCAGGGGAAGGGGGGTCAGCGGGGCGGAGTTCAGGAGGGAGACAGAGTTCAGAGTTCGGGGCAGAGTTCAGGAGAGAGACTGCTCTGGGGAAAAAGCTGTTCCTCAGTCTGCTGGTTCTGGTCCGGAGGCTTCTGAAGCACCTACCAGAGGGCAGGAGGGTAAACAGTCTGTGGGCAGGGTGGGAGGAGTCTTTAAGAATGCCGTGAGCTCGCCGCAGACAGCGTTTTCTTTGGACATCCTCCATGGCAGGAAGTGGACACCTTGTGATGCGCTGGGCGTTTTTACCACCCGCTGTAGCGCCTTACGGTCTGTGACAGAGCAGTTTCCGTACCAGACTGAGACACTGCTGGTCAGGATGCTCTCGATCACACAGCGGTAGAAGTTCATCAGTACAGCTGAAGACAGGTGGTGTCTCTTCAGTGTCCTCAGGAAAAGAGGCGTTGATGAGCCTTCTTAACCAGACTGGAGGTGTTAGTGGACCAGGAGAGGTCCTCTGTGATGTGAGTCCCCAGGAACTTGAAGCTGGAGACACGTTCAATAACCATCCCGTTGATGTGAATGGGGTTGTGCGTGCTTCCTCTTTCTCTCCTGAAGTCCACGATGATCTCCTTGTCTTGCTGGTGTTGAGGAGCAGTTGTTGTCAGCACACCAGGCGGCCAGATGCTGTACCTCCTCCCTGTAGGCTGTGTCATCGTTGTTGCTGATGAGGCCAATCACCGCCGTATCGTCCGCAAACTTGATGATTATGTTGGATCCATGTACAGGTCTGCAGTCGTGGGTGAAGAGGGAGTAGAGGAATGGGCTCAGCACACAGCCCTGTGGTACGCCTGTGTTGAGTGTGATGGGGGTGGAGCAGGTGTGTCCTGACCTAACATACTGGGGTCTGTTGGTCAGAAAGTCCATTATCCAGTGACGGAGGGAGGTGTTGAAGCCCAGGTCTCCGAGTTTAGTGTTTAACTTGGAGGGGATGACAGAGTTGAATGCTGAGCTAAAATCAACAAACAGCATTCGTGCGTATGTGTTGTTATTGTCCAGATGAGTGAGCACAGAGTGCAGCGCAGTGGAAACTGCATCCTCTGTACTCCTATTGCTGCGGTAGGCAAACTGGTATGGGTCCAGTGTGGGTGGGAGGCAGTTTTTCAGGTGTGCTAGGACCAGTCGCTCAAAGCACTTCATTATGATGGGTGTGAGTGCTACAGGGCGGTAGCACTCACAGACTGCAGACTGTAGTCAGATATTAGGTTTTACACTTTTCCAAAAACTGTAAATATTATATATATTTTTCTAATTCACTTTGGCTCAATTCTCCAATAAAATTTACTTTTTATACTTTTTTATCTTAAATCTCTAAACAGTTAGGTTCTTTTCTCACAACCGGTCAGAATTTCTTAATCATGCACATGTTTTGGTGCATGAGTGCAAATGATTAAATCATCAATCATCATCACAAATGTGCACAATAACCCCTACCCAGTGGTGTAGTGCAGGGTATACACAGACACTTATTGTTCAGTCTCCATGGGCTGGCCCGTCCATAGAAATGTCAGGGCCCCTGAAAGGCCAAGTGAAAGGGCCCTCCCAGGATCTGATTTAAAACAACACATGCTAATTCAATCAGTACTGTTCGCTAGCCTCCGGGTATAAGCTAGATTAGTACAGAATTAGCTGGCCTAGCATAGTATTAGCTTGTTAAGCATAATATTAGCTAGCTAGTGTAATGATTGTGCTCACCAGTGATGATCACGCATGGGTTTAACTCATTGAATCGTCACAGTCTATTTCGTTTGTATGTGATTATTAGTCAATGAAGCAGTAAAATTTTGATAATTTCCCCAGATTTACTGCATAAATATGATTTTTTAATGTTGCAACATTATATTAGCACCTGAGCCTGCTGTTCTGAGTGTGACAGCAGAGGAATGGCCATCCTGTATATTTGAATTGATGTAAAACCAAACTGTAGTGCAGCTTCGGTGAAAACAAATGTGACGGGCTGCTGCTTTTATAACCCTCCTCTTCATTAATGTGTCTCACCTTCTGAAAGCTAACCTGAGGAGAAACATTAGCATATTCATTCTCCTCCTTCAGGCCTGAGGCTACACTGAGCTTGATTTATAGACAGCCATCTTGGAAAAATCCAGCTCTTTAAATTTAGATCACGTTTGCTGTCTGGCTCTGAATCCACCCCACAGGTTTGTTTGGGCGCCGGGGCGTCCCGGTAATGGGCTAGGAAAACGTCGACATCAATATATCTCCCCGAGAGGCCATTCCTCCTCGCTGTCCACTCGAACCGCGGACTCTCTGAAAGCATTAGTCTCCAGGGGGCAGAGAGCTGCCTCTTCCACATATCTCATTTCCAACAGAGTGGAATCCATTAAGAGCAGGTGAGAGAGGAGACTCCCTGTGATGTAAAGCTTTCATACTCGCTCATCAGACAGGAACTATAAGATCATCCTGACTCCACCCGGAGATCAAATGAGTCTTTAGTTTGAAGAGCAGCGCTGGAACCAAGACAATGAAGAGGAGGCACTTAAAAGCCTTCAATCCCAGAGTGAAGTCTTACACATCCCACTTCATAACCTTCTCTTAGTCTTCATTGTACAGTTGTTTTCTTGGTGAAGTAGTACAGGCTGGCTTGTGGAGAGACAGTTGTATATCCATTTGGAATCACTCAGACCTCCCTCTTCAGCACTGAACATCTGTTGGGTTCTCTGGATCAAAAAGCAGCTATCTCACAAGGTCACTGATGAAACATGCAGAGACTAAACAGATGTAATGTTATTATTATTTTTTTGGCTTTTTATGCATTTAATAGAGAGATAGGACAGTAGATAGAGTTGGAAATCAGGGAGAGAGAGAGTGGGAAATGACAGGGAAGCCACAGGTGGGATGTGAACCCGGGCCGCCTGCTTGAGGCTACAGCCTCCATACGTGGGGTGCGCGCACTAACCACTGCGCCACCAGTGCCCCGTGTAATGTTGTTTTGAAGAATGGGGCGTGAAAGAGTTTTGACTAGGAGCCATTAAGAACAAATAAAGGATGTAAATCTTGTCTGGATCGCAGACCCATTGTTTTGTACAGTTTGAGCTAAAGATTAAAAGTGTATGTGACATTTTAAACATCAATACTGCAGATATGACCTAACTAAATATATGCAGTAAACAGTGAAGTAATGACTTTCTAAAAAGAGAGTGACGGGGCACGGGGCGATTCTAGAGTCTCTTGGGGCCCTAAGCAAGAATAATTTTGGGGGCCCTCCAACCAGTGTTCATTGCCAGTGTCCTAACACTTGCTCCTGTTCTTCTTTTTTTCTGTTTTATTTTGTTTTATTGACAAACTTTTGTTTTCACAGCAATAATGCATGTGACACTTAGCAGGGCAACGAGAGTGAGTGCTGTCAGATGGCGCCCCCTTAGGGAGGTTACTGTGGTTGCAAAATTTGCACATTTTGGACCACTGATTTGGTCTAAGTTTGCGAGCCTTCAGGGGCCCCCTACTGGTCCAGGGCCCCAAGCAGCTGCCTGACTTGCCTGTTGACATCAACGCCTCTGGCTACGGTAGCCTGGTGATTAGTGCGCATGCCCTATGTGAAGACCATGGTCTTCCATGCGGGCAGCTAGGGTGCGCCCGAGTGAATACCTGCAGCAGCCAATGAGA